TTCAGGCCGGTTCTGTGACCTGTCTCTATCTCCAAGCGTAACAGTCAGTGCCATCCGTAACCATCAGCATGCGCACCTTTCTTCAGTACTTCTCCTTTTAGTACAGCATTTAAACACGAACAGTATAAATTGATATGGAAACTTAATACAATGGATATATTGTAAAAATTGAATAAATGTATTTACAATATCTTAACATGTAGCATTAATATTAATTATGCTTTGTTTATTTAAATCTTTCTTTAGTTTGGTTTCCAGTGCTTTCATTGCATCTCTATATGAACCTAATTTAAAATATTCTAGTATTATATTTTTTAGTGGCTTTAAAATATATTTTTCTGTATTTTGGGGGATTTTTTTTCCGGAAATTCTGAACATTTTGATCTTCTCTTGTAACACAATTAAACCCACCCTAGTTGGTTTGTGGCTCACGAACTCAGCAGCTTCATGAGAAAGAAAACCGCTGTGCGACCTGAAGAGAGAATCCAGAAGTTTGTTATGACTCATTGTTTCACTTACTCCTCCAAAGTAAGAATCTTCTGACACTAGCTTTGCTTTCTCTCCATCTGACTAGAGCCAAAGTGTCTCTGTGGTGACAGCTGTGTTTGAGCCAGCTCACTCTGAGGTCAAGAGGTCGAGCTTGTGATAGTGGTGAGTCCGAATGCCTTTATTCCCCGCGTTTGTTGACACGCTTCATTGAATCAATGCTCCCATCATCCTTCCCGAAAAGTGTCTTTTTACAGGATTAGGCCCTGACAAACACCTCTTTTATTCCTTCGCCGAGGCTCCGCCGCCCCCGTCGTCACCCCCGGTGTCTGTGATGTTTGACTGCTTGAAGTTAAAGGATGTGTCTGTCGCAGTTCTGGAGGCCAATGCCCACTCTTGCAGCTGTGGCACTGTCGCTTACGTCCAATGGAAGCAGGCTCAGATGCTACTCCACGTCCCGAGAGTCACCCCCCCGCGTTTAAAAAGCTTGGAGTCGCTCGATGTGCAAACAGAGACATCACCTCACTGTGGACCGTGTTACCGACTGCAAAGAGCGGAAGAAGAAGCAGTTTGTAAAGAAATTAAACAGTTACGCCACTAAATTACGAATGCTGACTAATGACCCGAGAACGTTTTGTGACGAAATACTCAAGTTGAACGAAAGCACTTAACGACGGTAAGAGCACTTTTTTATTTAGGGGGAAGTTTTTAATTTTAAATTTTAAGGTTGAATATTTTTTTTACAGGAATTATAAGCACGGATATTCAGGGGAATGCCATGAAGACTTTGATGCTGATGCTGCTGGGACTCCACACAGTGATGGGAATGGGGTGAGTGAGGCATCGTAAGATGAGAAAGGATGGGAGGTTTGTCAAAACTGATGTAAAAAAAAAAAATGGATTACGTGATCACTGTAACGGTACTGTGTACTGACCATGGATTCAATATTAAATAACGTTTCTGTTCATTTAGGATTTTTTTTAATGCAAAATTTCCAAAATTGGGCATATGTATTTCTGTAAAAAGTAAAAAAAAAAAAAATTGTACATTGTAGATTTTGAGCTGCTTTTATATTGGCAAATTAAGTACCGTCATATCTTTTATCTGTTGAGATAACTAACAGTTATTGTATATTATATACGATATATGTATTGCACATTTCTTGCCATTTTTTTAAAATCCACAATTAAAATTAAAACAATTATTTTCAGTACAATATAATTATCAGCATACTCATATACTCTAAACCCTAGGTTAATTTTTTTTTTTTCACTATGCAGACACTGGTGTGAGCGTACGGCGGAGGAGAAAGTTGAGAGACTCTTGTCCCCACGTCTCCAGCTGGAAGTCAGCTGCACTGAGGTTTATCAGTACAACACCCAAGGCTGGAGACTAGATGTGGACAGGATGCGAGTCATTCACGGGGGCGACGACGGCATTGCGCTGTACTACAAAAAACAGGGTCCCAGAGCATCCTGCTTCCTGTACAAGTGAGTAGAAGTTCTGATTATTTTGTGTCGTAAAATATTCTTTTGTTCGCTGAATCGACGTGCATTAAAGTGGTTGAGACGCAGACGCAAACTCCGCTGTATCTATTTAAAGACTAAAGTGGTTGAGACGCAGACGCAAACTCAGCTTTCCACTGTATCTATATATTTATATCTATTAAGACAAATGTAATGAACATAAATAGAAATAAATAAAATAGAAGCTTAATTACAGGTAAAAATAAATAATGTAATGAACATAAATAGAAATAAATAATAAATAAATAAAATAGAAGCTTAATTAAAGGTAAAAATAAATACATTTTATATACTGTTAATAATATACTGTATTTTCCGGACGTTAAGTCGCTCCAGAGTATAAGTCGCACCAGCCAAAAATCGCATATTGAAGAAGTAAAAAAAAAAACATATATAAGTTGTTCTGTACCAGTACTACATTAAAGGCGCACCTGAGGATCTACTCTTTTCTAAACTAAAATAAACAACATAAATATATACATGGACTTCACACTGATTGACTACTTTAATGTAACAACTCCTGCTCCTGTCGCTCTCTGGCCAGACCTCCAGAGATTGAGAGCCAAACACTGAACAAGACGGAGATGACATGCTGTGAAGGCTGGGGCGGCACGCACTGCTCTGAAGGTGGGAAAAAAAACCAACTTCCAAATCCTCAGAGTAACTGTGTATTTTGATTCATTTGCTTATTGTAAATCGTTGTCACGCCGTTGCTCTCTCCTCCCACAGCGGCAGATGTGCGCGGTCAGTGTTTCTCCACTTGGAGTTGCGCAGAATTCCCGGGGATTCACAACTCCTCCCTCATGTCCATGGAGCAGTGCTGCCGCAGCCTGTGGGGACTGACATGGAGGAACGCCTTGGATCAAACCTGCATGTCTTGCACATATACCCTCCTTCCTGGTTGGAAAATATGTTTTTTTACACTAAACACACAGATAACTTCACTGCCTTTTTTTAGTCTAAACTAGGGGTGTCAAACATATGGCTCGCTAGGGGTGTTCAATTTGGCCCGCTCTTTGAAATTTAAAAAATAAAAAAAACACACAAAAATGTCAAGTGCGGGATTTTGTTTTGCAAAATTAAATTTCATTAAATATAAATATATAATACAAGTGTATTATATATATTTATCTATATAATACAAGTGTATTATATATTTATTCATATTTATTTATGAAGGATTTTCATTTTTCCCATCCTGAGAAGATTGTCACTCACTTGTTTGTCTGTTTCTGTAGTCATAATACAAGTGTATTATATATTTATTCATATTTATTTATATTAAATGAAATATCATTTTCATTATATTTCCTCAATTTTACTATAACTATAAATAACAATAAGTCAAGTAAGTACTTGACTTATTGTTATTTGTAGTTAATTAGGTTATGTACTGGTCCGGCCCACTTGACATTTACCAATGTAATTACCAAGGTAATTAAATGGTATGCGGCCCGTGAACCCAAATGAGTTTGACACCCCTGGTCTAAAACCATTGCACCTCTATCATCAGTTTCCTGTTTTGTTCCAATTGTCTCCAGACTCCCAGTCGTCCCCACTGGTGCGTAGTGGTCTACTGGGCAGCACCAGGGCGACGCAGGGTTCGGCCACCTGCATGTCCTGGGGAGGAGCCCATTATCGCACTTTTGACAGGAAGCACTTCCACTTCATGGGCAGCTGCACATACGTGCTGGCCTCATCTGCCGATGGCACGTGGGCTGTCTACATTAGTTCAGTTTGTAACGAGACGGGAGACTGCAGTAAGGTATGTATGGTATATATTATGGCCATAGAAATCTTCAATAATATGCAGAAATGTAGTATGACTAGTCATTATATCGTAGATTACTCACCAGATTACCTACTTACTTAAGAAACAAAACCCGAACAAACACAATTCGGCCACAGCTGCAACATTAAATCGACATTAAAAAACAAAAATTATAACAAAATTCAGTTACAATATTATAAAAAAAACTAATCAGCAAATCTGATTGGTTAAAGAAACTACCTCATTGGCTCTCACTAATGATTCTGGGCAGATTTCTTTCACTATGGCAACAGATGAGGTAACACTACGGCAACACGTGATGAAATACGATTGGATAAAAAAATACGCGTATACGCGACTGGAAGCGGCGCAACCAATAGAAAATCAAAGAAATGATAAGAACAGAATACTCCATAATATTTTTCAAATATTATATATATATATATTAAAAAAAGTAGTCCCCGCTTTCGATACTGTACACCGTATATTATTTATATTTTGTAATAAATTGTTTGTTCTATGTTTATGTCTGCTCCGTCAGGCACTGAGAATGATGCTGGGCCTAGATCTAGTTTCAATCCGTCACAGGAACTTAACACTGAACGCCCTGCCTGTTACAAATGGAGAACCGATTTTCCAAAATGGTAAACTGTTTTCATCATTTCCTTTTACAGATTGATGTTCTTAAAATGTTAAAATAGTACAGGCATAAAATAGAACAAAATGATCTTCTCTGTAAATATAAATATATTTATATTTGTATATATACTGTATATATATTTGAACTATATTAGGGCTATGCTTTTTGATATATATATGATCTGTTCAGTACTATATATAGTAATATTTTGGTTATAATACATTTTAAATACTGTCATAACTTAATGAAACTGTTTATATATTTCTTTTTACATACACCTAAATATATAGGAATTGCTGTCAAAATATGATCATATGGGTAATGTGATATACTTTAGGACATGCATGTGATTTTTGATGGCGTGCTGCTAATCTTGTGTCGTTCTACTTTAAATTAATAATTAATGAATAGATTAATAAAGTACTACTTATCGATCTAGGCAGTTAATAAGAAATAGAACAGATTGTTTTTTTTATCTTTTCACTCAGGCGTCAGCGTCTACTGGCTGGGGGACTTTGTGTTCGTGGAGAGTGGCCTCGGTGTAAGGCTCAAGTTTGACTTAGCCAACACGGTTCACCTCACAGTGACCGAGGAGCATTCGTCAGCTACCAGGGGTCTCTGCGGCATCTTCAACAACAATGCTGACGGTGAGGGCAGCTGTGTAAACACCACGTCACGTAAAAAAAAAGTCACGTGCGCCTGGTACAAGTTCCAAAGATTTTCACATGAACCTAAGGAACAATGGTCGTCACAAGTTACAAGTATTTCGTACGCGATGCTAGTTAGAGCGGCTCAACTAGTTGACTTACCTAATGAGCCACTCCACGGTATATTCTAGAACTACTACTCCAACTGTTACTCCATTCTCCTCTCCCTGGTAACGGAAGTCATCCTCGTAAATGTCCTCATCCCAGCCCTGTTGCTGTGGAATATTCCTCGTCTGTTTGCACGTATGCTTGAAATTGAAAGGGCTCAGCCGTAGATGTTACGATCTCGAGTTTAGGTGTAGCTTTGAGGACCGGCGCGGAGAGCATTTCAACTCCTGGTGCTCTTTGAACACATAGAAAATTCTAGAAGTAATGTAAAACATTGAGCTGTTTTGACAGCTCACTGTTTAAGTTTTATGATTCTCTTTTGTCATAGATGATTTTACCACAGTCACTGGAACTGTGTCCCAGTTTGCCGCCAGCTTCGGAAACTCGTGGAAAATCCCTGACCAGCAGAACGAAGTAAAATCCTCACTACAATTTTACCATTTTTAAATGTTTCTTACATTACCCAAAATGCTTTTTTTCTTTCCTAACAACATTCCTGTCTCTCTACTTCATTCCTTAGGGCTGCAGTGATGGAGCAGAACTTGGCCACAGCTGTGATGTGTCCGGAGATGCTACTTTACGGAGACAGGCAGAATCTATGTGCCATCGCTTGCAGGAAAATCCCTTCACACACTGCCATTCACGGGTGAGATACCCCTTGAAGTGTAGCTCCATGGTCTAGCAGTTAGCACATTTGCCATACATACAGAAGGTCTTGGGTTTGAGCTCACGCTGAACTTCAATTTATCCATTTTGGACACCAAGCAAAAAAAATTGGAAACAATTCCGTTTGATGCAAAGACGCTCTCCGCTAAGGTTCGTCAAGTGTTGTTTTGTTTCAGGTGGACCCAGCAGCGTACATCGACACCTGTCTTTACCTGTACTGCAGCCTTCCAGCTAAAGAGAGAACCAGCGCGGTGTGCGACACTCTGGCGAGCTACGTCCGCGAGTGTGCCCAGCAGCACATCATCATTACGTGGAGGACAGCCACGCTTTGCGGTAATGAAATATGTGGTCCGAAGGTCACTGTTCCACTTCTGTACTTTAAGACAATGTCAGCAACAATTTAGTACATATGATGCTAACATTTAAAATAACAGGGAGGTTCATCGATTTACAACGTCCTTGACCTCTGGTGTTATGTCATCTCCTATAAATGTATTAACAAAGTCTTATTCCATCATTCCAACGTACGCCAATCAGTTCCTGCGCAAACTAGTTATTGACTTTCCATGAATAAGTTGGCACGTGGCACTATATGCTGAAGACAGCTTTATTTACATTCCCCTCTTGTAATTAACGGCGCCTCCCGAGGGACTTTGTGTTGGTTGCAAAGACTCACTTTCTTTCGTTTGTGTTGTTTCTTTGGGAATTTTCTGATGTCCGTCATGGCTCCCAAGCATATTTTTTTTTTTTTGGGGTCGTCTTGGGCATCATGTTTACCAGGAGTTAACGAATACTGTCTATCACTTTTATCACTTTTAAAATATGGGTCCCCAGAAAAAAAGTTTGGGAAACACTGAGCCAGACTCTTCTGATGTTTTTATGTCATAGATTTTGATGTTACCACTTAAGTTCGAAATTCGAGTTACATTACACAAATTGAAGACCCCCTGTAATAATAATAAAAAATATTCCTCAATCTTCCCTATGTGTCTTTTCTGTTTTTTCAGATCGTGTCTGTCCCAGGGGTCAGGTGTTTTCAGATTGCGTGTCCTCCTGCCCTCCCAGCTGTGCATCCCACCACCCACTGGGATCCGCTGTGGCTGTTGAGCAGTGCAGGAAGGAGTGTGTCGGTGGCTGTGAGTGTCCACCGGGTCTCTATTCTCACCGAGGACTGTGTCTGAAAAGAGAGGACTGCCCTTGTTTCCATCGCAGACGCAGCTACAAGGCAGGGGAAAGCATACAGCAGAAATGCAACATCTGGTACAAAAATCAGACAAACGTGCTTGTTTGGATGTTTCCCGTTATATTTCGGTTTAAATATCAAATGTTCTTTCAACGGCAGTGTGTGCCGAGCGGGTCAGTGGGAGTGTACTGGAGAAAAGTGTGCTGGCCAGTGCGTCTTAGTTGGGGCACTTCAGGTGACTACCTTTGACAAGAAGAGGTATTCACTGCAAGGCGGAGACTGTGCCTTTACAGCCATTGAGGTGTGACATAGAACATAAATATATTTTAGATAAGGAAAAACTCAAAGGCTGTTTTGCAGCCCCTTTATAAGATGGCTGTTTGTTTGTTTTTTTTCTTTAAGGATTATGTTGATGGGAAGCTCGTGGTCAAGGTCCGCTGTGGAGCGTGTACAGCAGAGAGATTAGGAAGCCAAGGAGGAGGGGGGGACTGCCTCATAGAAATGTCAGTCACCGCACTCCGGACCACAGTTACCATTACAGACACAGGTGAGTTATTTGGTTTAAATTGTAATTAAATATCTTTTGACCAAATAAAATACTATCCACCCATCCATCCATCCATTTTCATCCGCTTACCGGGTTGCGGGGGCAGCAGTCGCCACCCAAATCATATTGCACCGCACCAACCCCCCAAACCTTCCTGCAGGTGATGAGTTCACTGGAAGGTACCAACCGCCCTAACTGGGATTCGAACTTGCCCAGGAGGTGAACCCTGGGGTAATAAAATACTATTTTAATTTTAATCCATAGAAAATATACAGGCATACAGTCTGTTCTCTGATGAAATTGTATGTCTTCAAGCAGTCCTTTTTACCTGGAGATGGTGCTGTAAGCACATATCGTACCACCTCACCAAATTTAAACAATTTTCCTGAAGTTTGGAGTTCCGACGTTGTAAAATCGGGCAGCACCACCAACCATGCGGCGGTACCGGTTTCCTGATTGGCGCTCCATTAGAACTTTTGATTTTGCTTTAGCCGATTGGCGAGGTGATTCGCCCGGCCTCTGACCGTCAAACCTCTGGGTGACCCCACTGCGGCCAACACCAAACTTCGAATGAAAGTAGCCTGCTTGATCGAAGTGTACCTCTTGGCTGCACCCATTCACGACAGATCTCACATCTCACATCTGGCAACTAACAAGTGCCAGAATCATTCTGGCACTTGTTAGTTGCCAGATTAGGTTTCAAAGCACCTTGGCAAGTTTAGGGATATGTCAATGTTCAGTTGCACCTTGGCAAGTTTAGGGATATGTCAGTGTTCAGTGTAATCTAATCCATTGTTTCCCAAATACTGGGTCGCGACCCTCAGGTGGGTCGCAAGAGATTTCTTTTTGGGTCGTCTCGTATCATGTTTCCCAGGAGTTTACGATATAATGTTTATCGACTTGGGTTATGAAGGTTTGAGACTTTTAAAATATGGATCCCCAGAAAAAAAAATTGGAAAACACTGCTCTTATCCGTGGTGGTGGAGAAGAGGAGAAGTTAGACTTATCACTCTATAATAAATGTATTAAAAAGATCATCATCCTTTAAATCACACAAAAGGATAATCACACTTTTAATCATTCTTCATTACTGCCGTTTTTGTTCTTCACTTCCTGTTTTACCCTTTGGGTTGTCTGGGTACTTTCCATTCCAACGTACTGTTAATTATTACCCAACTTAACCATAAATTTGGCATAAGAAATTCTTAGCTAATAACCTACTTATGCCTGGTATGATATACTCGCCTGGGACTTTATAAATACTGTACTCATCCCCTATTGACAACCTCTCTCTGTAAAGATTCTCATTCATTCAGGTCATGGGTCAAACAGTCCAAGACTGGACTTTTTTTGGACATTGTCGTCTTTTTTTCCCCCCAGGGACAGTGATGTTAAATGGCCAACGAGAGAGCTTGCCTGTGATGACAGGAGCCCTGGTTGTCCGGAGGGCCTCCTCCTCGTTTCTTCTAATCCAGACGTTTGGAGCGCAGCTCCTTTGGTATCTACATGGACCTTTAGCCCTCATCACTTTACAGCCCGGTTTTGCAAACAAGGTGAACCTTCCGAATCACTTTGTTTACCGTATTATTCTGAAATTCTACCTACATGTTTTTGAAACTTCCTATTTATAATCCTGTTTATAAGGACACTATCATTAGAACCATTTCAAAGTGTGTCTGTGATCACTGTGAATTATAAATCCACCAAATCGAGTTCCTCAGGGTGCCGTTCCAAGGCTCCTTTTTGTTCCGTCTCTATACAGAATGTTGTCTTTGGGTTTTTGATATCAGTTTTGTTAAATGTACTTGCATATATTGTACATTTCTGTTCTTTTATTTTTATTCTAATATTTCTTTATATATTCCTTCAGATTTTTCTTAATTTTAATTTCTCATAATTTTCCATCCCCTAAACCATAAATGTTCCTTAATGCTCTACAAAAAGCTGCCTTGCCTTGCCTCATAACTGTACTTCAAATATCTACACTAAATTGATTAAAAGCAGAATAAAGAATAAGAAGAATAAAATAAATCATTTGTATTTAATGTGTTGTGTTGTCAAGGTGCGCGGCCTCTGCGGCACACTGAACTGGAACCAGTATGATGATTTTACCACTCCAGAAGGAGATGTGGAAAACGGCGTGCTCTCCTTCGCTCGCAAATTTACATCAGAAAAATGCCGTCTCCCCGGAGGATCTACACCTGATCCGTGTACCACATACACCCAGAGGAGATACTACGCAGAGACGGTTTGCTCCGTGATCCACAGCCCTGTCTTTCAGGTAATGGATGCGGAGTCCGTACAAAAAACTTGCTTCTACGGTTGTTTTCATTTACGCATTCACGTGTCTCTGTGGTCTTTCAGAGGTGTCACGATGTGGTAGAGAGGGAGCCATATTTACGTCTGTGCCTGTCGGAGGTCTGTGGCTGTTCACCTCAGAAGGCCTGTCACTGCACTGTCCTCACCGCCTACGCTCAGCAATGTGCTCAGGAAGGCATCGCAATCCAGTGGCGCAACCAAACCTTCTGTCGTAAGTAGGAAGGTCACGAGCTAAGCTAGTCATGATATATAAGGGGGTCTACAATATTTAGAGTATCAAATGTAAATAGAATTGTGTGTTTTTTATTGATCAAAACTTTTATGTCAATAATTTAGGTGCAAAACTACTACAGGTTTCGTTCCACGTGTGTGCGAACCAAAACTTAAGCTAATTTCCCGCTCGATGCTGTCTCTTTGGTGCAGCTCTGCTCCTGCATGATCACTGATGCATTCTTATCAATTCCTCTTAAAAGAATGCAAATTCCCAGATATATCTTGTCAATTCTCGTCGTCGAAGAAATCAATTTATCATGACTTGTTTCGACCTTGTGTTTAATCATTAAGATACACACTTTTGTTTCGACCTTGTGTTTAATCATTAAAATGCACCCTCGTACCAAACAGTTTTTATTACCTCCTCTCGTCCCAGCGGTCCAGTGTTCAGGCGGCCAGGTGTACCAGGAATGTGGTCGTGCGTGTGGCAGCTCCTGTTCAGATCTCCAGCAGGGCTGGAGTTGTGATGATGACGGCGGATCTGGCCCTAGAATGTGTGTTCCAGGTTGCCAGTGCCCACCAGGATTACTGCAGGACCAACAGAACCAGTGTGTGCCGGCTGCCATGTGTCCTTGTGTGCAAGAGGGAAAGGTGTACCAGCCTGGAGCTCTGATACAGAACAGCTGTAATACCTGGTATGCTACTTGAAATATACTTTGATATGAAAAGTTGTTGTTGGGTCTGTTGGGAAACCACCTTTAAAAATACTAACTTTTTGACAGTTGTATAGTGTAGGAAAAAATATTTCAGCCGTCTATGGATCAAGGGTCACAGTCATGGCCACTTTGAAGCCTAATGAGTCCTACAATAGTGCTGCGCCCCTTATTTTGGGAACCACCAGTTTAAGTGATGGGGGTACTTTAAGGAAGTATTTATTCCGACACAAATTTTGTACATTTCCTATGAGGCAAATAATGTTTAATTAAGCCAATTTCCTAATTTCTGAAGAAGAAATATTTAAATGTAACTACTTTAAATGGCTGGTGAACTAAAAAAAAAAACCAACTCAGCTAACAGTACTTTGTGGAAGACAAATGATGTTTGTCTTTGTCATGTCCTGTCTTGTCTGAGGTTATGTTAAATATTAACATCAGTTTCTTAGTTATTATTGACATCATATGCGTTTATGGCACCGCCTGGGGTCTTGTGAGGTGGTGTAAGAGCTCTAATGAAATCACTCTATGATCCTGCTCCCTGCTACAGGATAGGTTGATTTCATTGCGTCTCCTCACCACAAAGCAACTCTGACCTTCGCTCCGGGACTGTCTTGCTGAGTTTACTTTGTGACTATACGACCCAGTTCGTAAATTTACGACCGCTGTGTTTTTCGCACAACACGTATGACACATACTTGAATTACCACCTACATACCGAATGATCGTAAGCTAAAATACAGTAACGTATTGTTTATTTCTCAGCTAGCTCTTCATCTTATGAACTTTATTTTTAAATTTATGTCATGAGTTTTAATTCAAGTATTTAAGTAGAGTTTGTCAAGTTAAAGACTGCACATTCTTTGACCGTCCAATAAAATCATTCAAATCGCCAACGGAATTGTACGCCTGCTAGAATGCCTTGGTGACGCATGCCTAAAATCTGATTGGCTAAAAAAACAATTCCATTGCTCATTTTAGGCTCGCAACGCCAGCACTGCTGATTGTGAAGACCTTAGAGCAGATTTCTTTCAACCTGGCAACCCATGAGGCTGAAATATGAAAAAACACAAGTATATATATGTTTCAAGTATTTATGATAATTATTATTAATAATTATATTAAAAAAGTAAGTTGTTGATTCTAATACCGTTTAGTCCAGCAGCTTGACGGTACATTTAACATCAGCTACCACGTCTGTCTGTTAAGTTGATTCTTACTGTAATCGTAGAATAACTAGTGATTATCTAAAGTAAAACCACTTCCATCAACAGTCTGTGTGTGCAGGGCTCTTTCAACTGCACACAGGATCGCTGTGAGGAGACGAATCCCTGTCCAGGCACGCTGGTCTTCTCTCCCCGCTCCTGCCTCGTCACCTGCTCCAGCCTGGACCTTTCTGGCCAACAGCCGGGACAGTCCAGCTGCAAAGAGAGTCTTTCTGGCTGTGTGTGCCCCCAAGGAACTGTCCTTCTTGTGGGTGAAAATATTGAACTGTAAATGTAGAAAGTAGCAGGGAGAAATAATCATAGAAATGCATTTCTATTTTTTTTTAAAAAGGAAGAGAGACAGTAGAAAGAAGAAAGTAGAAGAAAGTAGAAAGACTAAATATGTGAACCTTACTAAGTTTCACTTTGCCAGAAAAAGATCTAGTTAATTAACAGCTCTTTGTTTAACTGCACCTTTCCCAGTAGAGTAAATACAGCACTTTTTCTCTCAGCATGTCCCTAAGCAAGTCATTAGCTTGCTGTTTACTTAGCATTTACCACTTTTTTACCAGACATGTTGACATGTTTTTAGTGTAGGTATTTATTTTGTAGGATCTGCTCAAGTACTGGTGAGTCACTGGATACAAGCAGTAGTGGTACCATAGTGTAGTGGCTATCAAATGGTTCCATGGTTAAGTCATTACACTTGCTTACACATCAGCTGTTACACACAGATGTTCTTGGGTTTGAGCTCCAGAGGAACCACATACTTGGTGCCTCTAGGGGGCAGCCTGTTTCAGCAGATCTGCTGTTAACACAGTTCCCCCAGTGTGGGATCAATAGAGTTCAAGTCATTGTTATCAATATAAAAAAGAGAAAAAAACTGACATCCTTCAGTCTTAAAGTGACAAGTGATATGTTACGTTGTCTTATTAGCTGTATTTGTATGTTGACGACAGTTTGTCATGTCTGTTCCGTCCGCCGCAGGATGATCGCTGTGTTCTCCCAGAAGAGTGCCCGTGTCACCACAATGGTAGACTCTACTACAGTAATGACACCATCACCAAAGACTGCAACACATGGTGAAATAAACTCGGTCGACCCTCTCTGTGTGTGTCACATCACTGTGTCATTCGTTATCCCACGGTAACGGCTTCTACCTGTTCCATTCCCTACAGTGTGTGTAAAGAGCGGCGCTGGCACTGCAGCCAATCTGCGTGTGCTGGCGTGTGCGTGGCCACTGGGGATCCACACTACGTCACGTTCGATGGACGCTGTTACTCTTTCCTCGGGGACTGCCAGTATGTGCTAGCCAGGGAAAACAGTGGTTTGTTCAGCGTTACTGCAGAGAACGTGCCGTGTGGGAGTACAGGGGTGACCTGCACCAAGTCTGTCACCCTGAGCCTGGGAAATACCGTCATACACCTATTAAGAGGTAACAGGGGCGTGAAGAGGCCTAGATTTTAGCCTTGTGTGAAATGTTGAATTTTTAGCTTTGCGAGATGAAGTAATCAAATTATAAATTGTAATTACCACATTGATCTCAATAATTGTTTATGCAAAATATTCCACCGTCCGTCTTCTTATCATAGTCATTACACTGAATTTCTGTTTCAGCAACATACAGTAAACATTATTTTTTTCAGAATTTCTGTTTCAGCAACATACAGTAATTTTTTTTATTTAGCCATTTTTATTTATTTTTGATAAATCGTGATAAAATACAATCCCGATTAATCGTGATTAGTCGCTATTATCCAGTTATGTCTCACAGTCCTACGTAGTTGTCATTATTAGCCATCGTTTCCAATTCATGCGGGAGCTTAAAAACCTGCTCACGTCGGTGATGGGTTAAAAGACAGAGGTCACATTTCGTTGTGTGCAGTCGTTTCATGGTCATGGTTTAACGTTTTAGTGCCTGTCCCATAGGTAAAGCTGTGACAGTCAATGGAATGCCAGTCACCCTGCCAAAATCCTACAGTGGCAGTGGTCTGTCCCTGGATAAAGTCGGTCTATTCGTGTCCCTTTCTTCACGACTTGGGGTATCTCTGCTTTGGGATGGAGGTAGGATGAACGTCCATCATTCCCAGACCATATCTCTTCTCTCCTGTGCCTGTAATAATAGCGTACACTCTTCACAGGTATGCGTGTGTATATACGACTGGCGGCCCATTTGCGGGGCAGAGTTGGCGGTCTGTGTGGTAACTTTGACGGAGATACAGAAAATGATTTCACAACAAGGCAGGGCATCGTAGAGTCCACACCCGAGCTGTTTGGCAACTCCTGGAAGCTCAGCCCTTCCTGCCCCGATGTGGCGGATCAGGACCTTAGAGATCCCTGTGCTGTGAGTCCAGGGGAAATGTGTTCCCGGACATAAATACGTCCCACAGCAAAATATCCTATAACTGTTTGTGTTTGTGTGATGATGTGATTTCAGCTGAACGCCCACAGAGTCACATGGGCCAGGAAAAAGTGTGCGGTCCTGACTCAGAAACTTTTCGCACCCTGCCACACTGAGGTACCCTTCCAGCAGTACTATGACTGGTGTGTCTTCGATGCTTGTGGGTGAGTGACACAGAAGACGCAACGCACATTTCTTTCTTTGGCGTCCTGGGAATGATTTCTTTTACTTCTTCTGATAGACAATCTCCTGGAATTCAACAGTTTTGTTCATGCTTAAGAAGTTATATTTTAAAAATCTATTCACTAAAATACAAAGAGCAACAACTCAGCTGTATAGTCCACTTTTTTTGCTGCCTGAAGTCAGGATTTACAGTGGTCCCTCTCTATATCGCGGTTCTCCTTTTGCTCCCTCAGCACATCGCCAAATTTTTTATTAATCCGTTCCGCGGAAGTTTCGCTATATAGCGTTTTTTGTACGAGAATTTCTGTTAATCCGTTCCGCGGAAGTTTCGCTATGTAGCGTTTTTTACGGGAATTTCTTTTTTATATTTCCAATACTTTCTTTATTTTCGTGATACAAAACATTTTCAAACTCAAAACGTACATACATACTTACATACGAAAGTGTTGGGTTTAAAAATGCCTTTGTTTACGTGCACAGCATTCTACTGGCATTCACTTCTGTTCCTCATGCGGCTCATGCATCGTAGCATCTGTCCGCCACTCGCCGTTACATGGGACGTTGCTGTAAAGTTTGTGATCTTATGTTTGGTGAATGTTGACGCTAATTTAGTGCCTTACGAACCCTCCTAAACGCTCTGCGCTGTGCCCGGCTTTTATATACGGTCTCTCCGTCTTGGTCAGTATCACTCCTCTGTTCACTCTCCTCTCTCCTTGGTCCTGGCTCCTACTATCATAAGGAAAGGCTCAATTACTCAAATTCCCCTCCCCTCCGTCCGGGGCTACACCTGCTTCACCACTCCCATGCTCTCCATCCTGCAGCTGAGCGCTAACCTCCACCGCACTCCGACAATGTGTATTTATGTTATTTACGTAATATGTATGTCTTATACACTATATTACCAAAAGTATTCGCTCACCTGCCTTGACTCATACTATGAACTGAAGTGCCATCCCATTCCTAACCCAGAGTTCAATATGATGTCGGTCCACCTTTTGCAGCTATTACAGCTTCAACTCTTCTGGGAAGACTGTCCACAAGGTTGAGGAGAGTGTTTATAGGAATTTTTGACCATTCTTCCAAAAGCGCATTGGTGAGGTCACACACTGATGTTGGTCGAGAAGGCCTGGCTCTCAGTCTCCGCTCTAATTCATCCCAAAGGTGTTCTATCGGGTTCAGGTCAGGACTCTGTGCAGGCCAGTCAAGTTCATCCACACCAGACTCTGTCATCCATGTCTTTATGGACCTTGCTTTGTGCACTGGTGCACAGTCATGTTGGAAGAGGAAGGGGCCCGCTCCAAACTGTTCCCACAAGGTTGGGAGCATGGAATTGTCCAAAATGTTTTGGTATCCTGAAGCATTCAAAGTTCCTTTCACTGGAACTAAGGGGCCAAGCCCAGCTCCTGAAAAACAACCCCACACCATAATTCCTCCTCCACCAAATTTCACAGTCGGCACAATGCAGTCTGAAATGTACCGTTCTCCTGGCAACCTCCAAACCCAGACTCGTCCATCAGATTGCCAGATGGAAAAGCGTGATTCATCACTCCAGAGAACGCGTCTCCACTGCTCTAGAGGCCAGTGGCGGCGTGCTTTACACCATTGCATCCGACGCTTTGCATTGCACTTGGTGATGTGTGGCTTGG